GACTCATTGCAGGCTTACTCCGACGCTGACTGGGCCGGTTGCCCAGACACCCGACGTTCCACCTCTGGATACTGTGTTTTTCTCGGGGACAACCTAGTCTCATGGTCCTCGAAGCGTCAGGCCACCACTTCCCGTTCGAGCGCAGAAGCTGAGTACCGCGCTGTAGCCAATGCCGTTGCAGAAACGAGCTGGATCCGGAACCTTCTACTTGAGCTGCCGCAACCTCTTCACCGTGCCACCCTTGTCTTTTGCGACAACGTCAGTGCCGTGTATCTATCGACAAATCCTGTACAGCACCAGCGCACCAAACATGTGGAAGTTGATATTCACTTTGTCCGTGACAAAGTAGCACTCGGCCATGTCCGTGTTCTCCACGTTCCCTCGTCTTCGCAGTATGCTGACATCTTCACTAAGGGACTGCCATCTTTATTATTTCTGGACTTCAGACAAAGCTTGGGAATCAGACCTCCCCCACATCCGACGTAGCCGGGAGCATGTTAAATATATTGTATATATTTAATATATTGTAGTATTCCCTTACCTTATTTGTATAGGTTTCCTTCCTTGTGTCTCTCCTACCATGTTTAGGATTGAGATTCCTCTTATATATATACATGTAACCACATCATATTCAATCAATGAAAATCATTATTCTTCACCTAACCTAAAAAATAGGCTCTTATTAGTCCAATTTTTTTTAAGAATGATGTTTTATGTACAAAAAAATGAAGCAGCTATATATGCATACACATTCGGTAAATATAAAACCGTTCACAAATCACAAGACTACAAACATAAACCTCAACTTGTAGTTGAGTAACTTGAGTTGGTGGCCTAATAGGCTTATCCACCGACTTTTATTTAGGAGTACTTTTTTTTGACATATTTGGATAACTTTTTAATACTCCCTCCGTTCTGCAAAACACTTTCGTTTTAATTTTTTACGCAGCCCATAAAATATTTCTATCCCACCTAAAATGTCTAAAATATCCCTAAAACAACTTCTACCTGCAATAAGCTACATGGTGGGGTATATTTTAGATATTTTAGGTGGGAATAAAAGCGTTTAATGAGGTGCGCAAAATTAAAATTTAAGGCGGAAGGGTTTTAAGGAAGAGAGGGAGTAATATGCAAATGGCATAATATTTAGAGTCAACTGAAGAATTGAAAATACGAACCACGTGATTTTTTAGTTATAATAGAATAAAAGATTGGAAAATTCCAAACTAAAACAAGAAAATGATTAAATACAGTACTCCGTTACGAGTAATGGATTTAGAGGAAAGAATTAACTTGCAAAACTGGGAATAACATTTCATCACAAATTCCCCATAAATGCCATTGGTGGTTCAGTTTTGATCCAAAACCTAAGACAAAACAGAAGGTAAGTTGGCGGTTCAGTCTAATTTCACACAAAAAATGTGTAAATCGTTGATTATTCGGTTCGGTTTTATGCGAGTTTTTTTTCAGTTTTTTCTATTTTTCTCATTTTGAAAATAAAAATTTATAAGCACTAAAAAAAGTTGTAAGAACACTAACTCAATAAAGAAAAAAAACATGTATGGTTGGATTCGGTTTTCCGGTTCAATTTTTATCCAAAACAAAAAACCGAACAACATGTTAGAGTTCAATTTGGTTCAGTTTTACGTAAAAAAATGTGCCGAGTGCCAAAGCCTTCATATGTAAATATCAATTGCGAATAATTTACGTCTTTTTGGGTATAATACTTTCATTTCCATTATAACATCAATTTTTTATGTAAATATGTAAATTACCCGTATCAATTTTTAATTTTAAAACAACTCCGTAATAGGCTTAGTTATTGGTGTTTAAATTCCTAGGTTTTTTTTTAAAAATTTATAATATGATTTAAAATGTTTAATAGTTAAGAAAAAATAAGTTTATTCGACTAATCAGTTATTTGCATTTATATTTCTATGATTTTTTTTTGCACATCACATATATTCATATATATATATATATATATATATATATATATATATATATATATATATATATATATATATATATAAAGCGAAATACCCAAGAAAGTTCGGTTTGTTCAGTTTGGTTCGGTTTTTCAAAGTGAAAACCCAAATAATAACCAGACAATCGCTTTTTTATACATTATATTCAATTTGTGTTTTTCAGTTCAGTTTTTTTCTTACTTGTTTCGATCGATTTGTGGTTTTTGGTTTTTCCAACCCAGCCTTATCCGAAGCTCATGTGTCGCATGACGAAAAGTGTGAGTGCTAACATCCTACAATAGAGATCTGTTCTGTAGGCCTGACTTGATTGAATATGATATGAATTTTTAAAATTTTGATTTGATTAGATTTCATATGATCTAATTGAATCTGATCTAGTTAGGTCTGATCTGATCTGATTGAACCTGATCTAATCTGATCTCATTTGATTGAATAATAATAATAATAATAATCGTCATCATCATCATATTTAAATTTATAATATTAATTAATACTTACGTATGTGCAGCTAAAAATAAAGTAATATGATTTAACTGAATTGTAATTATTATTTAATCTTTGAAAAATATTAATATTATCTTTATTATTTTTTCCCCATCTGATCTGATTAGATTTGATCTGGTCTGATCTAATTTGATTGGATCTGATCTGATTATACCCAATTTGATTTTAATAAGAATAAGTAATAAACAGAAAAAATAAATCTTGCGGAACAGACCCTAGATGGCTATATGTTATTTAATTCTATTATTCTTTTTGTCACAAAATATTTTACACATTACGTAAAACAAAGCGAAGTTTTAAGTTTTTAAAATTTGTTTTACTTGAAGATCGGAAATTAAATTAAAAATAAGAATTACATATAAGAAATCTACCTGAATAAGAGTAAAAAAGTATGAAAAATACAAAAATAGGAGTCCAAAGTCTTTTAAGACCAAAATGGGAGTATAATGGCAGTGTAATGTAAGAGTACACATTGACAGTGTGATGAAAAAGTTATGACAATGTAAAATGTGAATGTGACCAGTCAATCATGGACGATGTGCGGCAGAATTCGGATGGCCAGCGGCGACTGATGACAGTGTGGCGATGGTAGTGTGGTAGTTCATGACATCACCCTCCTTAACTCACACCAAACCCTCTTATTCCCAGATCTCTCTTTCTCACTCAATAACTATGGAGTATATCATAAATTGACTAAATTTATTATGTTATATTATTAATTTATTAGTATATATTTAAAATATACATGAACTAATATAAACTACCTAAAACAATACAAACCCGAATTGATATAAACCCGAAACGTTACAAAACCCGAACCGATATAAACCTGATCCGATATAAACCCGAACCGATACAACCCCGAACCGAAACAAAAAACCAGTCAAACCGAAATAAACCCGGAACCGAACCAACCCGAACTGATTATAACATATATCCGAAAAAACCCGAACCGAAAAGACCTGAACCAGAACCGAACCGATTGACCCGATTGCCAGGTAGATATGATACTTGATTGATGTGTGTTTGTTTGGGAATTGATCTTTCAATTCAATTTATATATACATATTGTGCTCGAATTCAGAAATAAATTTAAATATTGAAAAAATATATTGAAAAAAATAAAAATAAATAGTTATTGTAAAACCCTAAAGAACAATTTTTAATTGCATTTGAAGTCAACTTTTTTTGTTGGGTTTAAACTCCATCCTTGTAAAAGGAAAAAAACAAGTGGGAGTGAATTACAAAAAACTTCGTGCCGATAAGCGTTGCGCAGTTCGCAATGGCAAGGATTGTCAAGGAAGTAGAACCGAGTTCGATTTTTGACAACTGTACTGAGAAACAATTATGTTAAACATAAAGCTTTTGCAAATACCAGGTGACGTCTTCACTTTTTGTCACCAATCTATGATTAAAGTTCAATTTACCTCCTTTGTGACCGTTCGATCAAGTCTGAAAGTTGAGATATACTCCCTCCGTCCCACATAGATCTTCTCATTATCTTTTTTAACATTTAAAATACCACAACTACTCCCACTTAGTTTATTTATTACACCTTTTCCACCCTTTTAATAGACCCCACCCATTTTCATTAAGGGTATTTTGGTAAACTTTCACCTTTTTTCAACTCTCTTTAAAAACCGCAAAAAGTCAAAGCGAGAAGATCTTAGGAGGACGGAGGGAGTATATGGGGTTTTTGTTTTTCAAAAAAAGCTTGGTGGTGTTGAACTTGTTTAGCAATAATGGACAGTGGAAGGGGGAGCGAGGGGGCCCCGACAGTTGATCCGAACCCATTCATCTCTTAGGACTAATTCGTTTTGGAAAAACCGGTCGTCGTTTTGGTCGGTTGCCGTCTTCTTCTCTCTACTCCGACCGTCCTCCGCCGTACTCAAAACCAAAAGTGCAGTCTCCGGTCCCACGCGCCGAAATTTCTGATCCTCTTTCACATTTGCAACCGTGGCAGCTTATTAGCGTTTTACTCGTTAATTATTATTCCCTGGCCGGTGGGCCCACGGAGGTCAACAACCCGCTTTGACTCCCCTCCCGCGTAAATCCTACTCTGAAACCCCACGCGACACCGCGTCCCCATCTACGCGCTTCCGTCCCCCTCCCAGCTGTACATATATATATATATATAATGTTCAAATTCCACCTCCGTTCACATTCAAACTATTTCTTCTTCGTCTCTGATTAATCAAAGATTTCTACACAGAAAATTTCGAGCTTATTTAATGGAAATCTCTGCTTTCCCTCACCCCATCTCCGACGACTTCTTCCCGGTTAATCCCATCGGATTCTTCCACGATTCTGACCTCCCCGGCACCTTCCCGCAACCTGTGTCCAAGAAGATCAAACCCATTGATCCAATTGAAGAGATTCTCAGCTGCTTCGCGCTCTCCGATTACAGAATGCCGGATGCAGAGCATATTCCGGCGTGCTCCGGTGAGGATGCGGTGTTTCCCGGCGGTCATTCTTCGCCGGGGATAGCGATGAATGAGAACAGGAAGCGCAGCCGCGGTGGGTCTGAGGATGTTGCGACTTCCAGCGGAAGTGCGCCGCAGCAGAGCAACCGGAGGTTGTGGGTGAAGGAGCGGTCAACGGCGTGGTGGGAGCGGTGCAACAGTCCGGAATTCCCGGAGGAGGAGTTCCAGCAAGCGTTTCGGATGAGCCGAGCCACTTTTGACTTCATCTGCGACCAGCTCGAGCCGGCGGTGACGAAGAAAGACACCACCCTCCGCCTCGCCATCCCGGTCCGCCACCGCGTGGCCGTCTGCATATGGCGGCTCGCCACCGGCGAACCTCTCAGGGAGGTCTCGAAGAGGTTCGGATTGGGCATCTCCACCTGCCACAAGCTCGTCCTCGAAGTGTCTGCCGCAATCCGGACCGTTCTCATGCCCAAATTCCTCCGGTGGCCGGAAGAGCAGGGTATAACGAACATCAAACGCGAATTCGAACTCCTCACCGGAATCCCAAACCTCGCCGGAGCAATGTACACCACCCACGTTCCGATCGTCGCCCCGAAACTCTCGGCCTCGGACTACTTCAACCAGCGCCTCACGGAGAGGAACCAAAAGCCGTCGTACACCGTCACAGTCCAAGGCGTCGTGGACTCCGCCGGAGTCTTCACCGACGTCTGCATCGGGTGGCCGGGATCTATGGCGGACGACAAAATCCTCGCAAAATCCGCTTTTTACGAGCGGGCAAACAGGGGACTCTTGAAGGACCTCTGGGTCGTCGGGAATTCAGGGCATCCGTTAACGGACGGGATCCTAGTGCCCTACACTCACCGGAATCTGACGTGGGCGCAGCACGGGTTCAACGAGAGACTCTCCGGCGCGGAGGCGGTGGCGAAGGAGGCGTTCATGCGGCTGAAGGCGCGGTGGAGCTGCCTGCAGCGGAGGACGGAGGCGAAACTGCAGGACTTGCCGGTGGTTTTGGGAGCCTGTTGCGTCCTGCACAACATCTGCGAGATGAGAGGGGAAGAATTGCGGCCGGAGTTAAGGTTCGATCTGTACGATGACGAGGTTGTCCCGGAAAATCCGATTCTGTCGGCCGCCGCAATGCACTCCCGGGATCAGATTGCCCATAAGCTTCTCCATCAAATGGTATAGAATTTGTTCCCAATCTATATGAAGTTGAGAGATTTAGGGATTGATTTTTTTTAAAAAAATAAAAGGAAATTATATTATTGATAGTAAATTGAAATGTCTCTAGATGTTGTTTTAGATTAATTCAGAACTTGGCAGAGTTTCAAAAATAAAATAAAAAATCACATGTCAAATTGAAATGAAATATAAAAAACTGAAAAAACACAACTAAATATTAAAAAATCGAAAAGTCGTGAGTGGAAGCACACATGGTCTAATTTTTTATTTAATTTTTTTAATTTTAAAATTCAAAACAAGGAAAAGATCAACTGCCAGTTCACATATTTTTACGTAAAACCAAATCGAAATACCGAGTAATTCTCAATTTGGGATAAAACCAAACTGAAAAAACCAAACTCGGTTTTTTAGAATCAAAGCGAAACAAGATATCCCTCAAAAAAGAAAAAGTGAAACTATACATGAACACAACTTAGTGTCATTAAGAAACATGAAATCATATAGCTGAGGAAAAAACAAATTTATTAGTATTTTCTACAGTTTTTTGTTGACAATTATATTGGCACAAAGATTGTCATAACTTTATACCAAGCAAACAATACAATGCTGCCCACAAGAATTATACCCACTCCATTGTTTTTTCCTGTCTTCTCCATAAAGCCACATCTCATTCCAAGGTTCATTATTGGATTTCAAAGTGAAGTGAGCCGAGATCCAACGGCTGAGAAGTAAGAGGAGAGATCGATGTCGAGATCGTCGTGCTTGTGGATGAATGGGTGCCTCTGTGTATCATATGGACAATGCAATGCTTAGTGAGTTAAGAACTATGTGTTGAAGGTCATGAATGGATGAAGACAAAGGTAAAATGACATCAAAGAGTAGAGAGTAGTTCGAATACCATTAATTCGTTCGCAGAGAGTCTTTTCTTCGGATCCTTCTGCACACTAAATTATGTACACAATCATGAGCAACTAAAATAAAACATCTATTATTGACACACGACGGTTCTTTTGATATTGGATTCCAATGTCATATTATGACATCGAGGCTTTACGGTGCTTCATTGGGCCTGAAAGTAGTTTCTATAGCATATCAGCGAAATGGAAGGGGGGGGGGGTAGAGGCTGGGGTTTGAGGGGGGGGGGTCAGGAGATGGGAACGACTCCCGAGCCCAAAGGAGCACCGTAGGGTCATCAAATGGATTAATGTCATATTATGACTCATTGGACTCCAATGTCAAAAGAACGAAACCATAATTATAGATTTGAGAGAGTAGGGATCTATAAGTATTCGCCGGTTCCTGTGACATTGAGTATATGTATAACAATATACTCAATGTATATTGTTATACATTGAGTATATTACAAAAATCTTCCAAAATAGCTCATTCGCTTTGCTCACCAACCAAACACATCACTCATCAACTTTCCTCATCTTCGGAGAGAAATTACAAAAAAAAAAAAAAAAGAATGTTAGCACATACCATGAGGAGATAAAAGAACAGAACTCTGGAGAGAATTGGTCAGGAGATGCACGAGGCTCGGGTTGATCAACTATCGTTGACATAAGTTCATAAATAGTCCATCCCTCTCCCGGTTGGGGAGGGCAATATGGGAAATCGCCAGTTGCACACTCAAGTAAAACCAATCCCAGGCTCCATATGTCGCTGCTATACCCGTGGCTGCTTCCGACAATCCTCTCTGGCTGTGCCCATAAACACTTGTTGCATTAAATTGCCGTGGTAAACTTGGATATAGAACATTAAATGCACATCTAAGCAAAATGGATCACGAAGCCTATGTATGCGGGACAGATGAATTTATATATGTGAAATGAAAGCTAGTGAGAAAAAAAATTCCATCTTACATTTTGCATTCACAAATCTGATTGCCAAAGCACTAACATATGCTCCCTCAGTCCCATAAAACAGTCATGTTTCACAAAGGTGACATTTATTTAAACTTCAATAAGGTAGAACTACTAAAGATTGCCTTACGGAGTATATAACTATATTTTGAAATTTCTTTGGTTTAACTATATTTAACCCACTCAACTTGTTTGGGACACTTTTTTTTAAAATCAAAACCCACTAAATATGATAAAAATTAGCTCATTTTGTTCAAATAAGACACTCTTTGGGACTAAGGGTCCATTTGGCTTTGATTCTGCATTTTGTGAATTCTGATTTGCTCAAAATTAGTTGATTCAAGGGAATGAATCATACAGTAGATTACTTTTTAAAATCAGATTCTGAGAAGCAGAATCAGCAACTGATTTTTCAGCATCTAAAACAAATGCAACACAACTTATTATGGGATGAGAATTAAGGCTTCTTGCAAACTATACCAAATGAGCCTTAAAATAAACTCCAAACTGCTTTCTATTGTTTGGGGGGAGG